AAAATAGTAAATAATAGCTAACATTACTAAGTCTGTGCACCAGATACAATCTTTCTTTCTCAAGAGAGAGAAGAAGGGAAAAAAACCTCCCCTATCTCCTAACAAAGTATTCTACTCCATCTCTCACCTTGTCATGGACAAAGCCGATGGAGAGAACAAGCTACAGGGCAAACTTTACCCTCCAACCCTCTACATAATGTTCCCTGAAAATGTCACTTCTGAACTCCTAACTGCCAATTCCAATGGGCACTTTCCTGTTCTTTCTCACTTTTGTGGATGACCAAGAAACTCCCTATACCCTTGCTGTTAACCCCCTTGGTATTTCGTTTCCTGGTTTTTCCTTCTCATTCTTCTCTTGTTCTCTCATAGCTGTGAGCAGTTCACATTATCTGGGTGCCTGTTTTTTATTTATCAATAAAATGTAAATCCTGCTATCCCCCTAAAAGTATTCTTAAAGTAAACAAGTAAATCCACTTATATATCTGCATAATATCTATCTTAAGGGGCTATATAAATTGTTGTTACTATTAAGTGCAATGAAAGTAATCAAATTCTACCCATAAGAGTTTCTATGTGATCTCTTTTGATGGTTATAGAATGTTTTGTGACAGTATCTTGGCTGTTTTTGTAAGTAGATGCTTCTTATACTCTTAAATGTATGTCTCCTAGTGACTGAGATATCTGTCATCTTTGTGTGTACACTATTCATCTATTTGGCAGTCTTTTTCAGTGTTAATTAAAGCAAAGAAGACTTCAGTTCAGCCCTTGTATGATTCATCCACATACTCTAGGGTTTTCATAAATAATATGAATTTGGAAGAAGACAATCTCCACTCAAAGAATTGGAGAATCCAATTAGGAGCTTATGTTAAATGCATTATTTTACTATTTGTAAGGAAATCACATTTTTAATAAATTATCTATTCAATTATTTCAAAATTGCCTATGCCTAGAACATAACTAATTAGAACATCTCACTTTCACTCGAAGATTGTTATTCTTATTGCTCAAAGCCTTACTTATATAAAATCCTATTTGATCCTGGGGTGGAGGCGGTTGTGTTTCAAGGGCCTTGGTGAGTTTGGCACTGCCTGACCAACCCTATCCTTTGCCACTGTGTGCAGCCCCAGGACAACCTAGGAATCCCCCACTGTTCTCACCACCTTGTTCTGGGCTCACTCTCAGCTCTCACCACATTGAATGGATGCACTTTCTGTGTCTGTTTCCACAAAAGCACTCTTGGTATCTCAATGGCCAGAGCCATGCCTTTCATCCACCCCTGGGACCTACCCAACTGTGGTAGGCACTGAATAAATGTATTAGACATTTAAACAGATAAAGGGATGGAAGAAGACCTCAAGGCCAAAGACGTTTAACCCTGTCAGAAGTAATAGATCATTATTAAATTCCCTCTCATAACCCTCTCTGCATCTTGTTTTTTAATAATTTAATTGTCTTCTTCATGAGACAATGAGCTTTGTAAGAGGGGAGGCATGTCTGTCTTACTTACCATGGTTCCCTAAATCCCTGGTACACAAAGCCAGGGCCTAGACATACAGAAATTTGTTGAGTGAATGACTCAATGGATATCTATTTTTACAAATCCTTTTAGCTCAGTGACTGGGGAAAACTTAAGTCCAACTACATTCTTCAGATCTCAAGGAGCAGAAAGGGATAGAGATAACTTTGCCTTTCAGAGTTTCTCTGTCTGATGAAGCCTAGATAGCTAAGCACTTGCTGGCTCTTTCATTAATGCCCAGATGCTCATCGAGACATTTATTTCCCAGGAAGGAGGAAGGAGGAAAAGAGGATTGTGGAATGTGTGTGTGTGTGTGTGTGTGTGAGAGAGAGAGAGAGAGAGAGAGAGAGAGAGGGAGAGAGAGAGAGAGAATGTGCTTTGTGTTCGAGCACTGGAAGGGGATTCCAAACTAGTGAACAAAGCCTCCTCCCACTAATACACCCTGTCTGGATGGAAGCAGATGGAAATGAATCAAGAAAGGACTTGTGATATAAATATTTATTAGAAGCTCCTGCATAGGGTGACAAGCAATGTTGTGTGCATACTGATTCATTTCTTCTCTGTTTGGGGAAAAAGTGAATGGAGAACTGGATCTCCTCTTGACTGTCATCCAGATAGGACCTAGCTTGTTACAGATAGAAGACAAAACAAGAATTTTATTCCCTTAATTTGGAATTATGCCAAGAAAGCCAGGCGACAGTAGGATGTCTCAGCAGATGAATCTACAGCAGGAACTGGTTGATTTTGCCCTTTCAGGAACACCTGTAGGAAACGGGGCGAGTAATTGAATAACATAACTTTCCATGTGGAGCAGGATGTGTTTTTCCTCACTATGCACAAGCTGTCTGCAGCCTTTAGGGCATTATTAGGGGATGAGCCACATGAAGGCGGCAGAGTCTGCCTTGGCTTTCCCAGGAAAACATCTGGCTGTGCTGGCACTGGTTCCCAGAAGCTCTTGACTTTTCTCTGCTCGTATTCGTAAGTGCCAAGAGTCTGTTTGCTGCTCAACCGGGAGCCCAGAGGGCCCTGCGAGGACCACTCTTCCTGTGTTGGAAAAAATGATTTTCTTCATAGAAACAGCCGTGTGGGATGCGTTGTGGGAGGGAGAAGGGGGTTCTAAAAGAAAGGGGGAAACTGCTGTAGTGCAACACTTGGTGAATGAAGCAAACAGCGTTGGGGACGGAGTCAGTGTGGTTTTAGGATGCAAGTGCCTGAGAAGCAGAGGCTGTGCTTTCTTCCCTGGAACTCTGGCACAGAACATGCCTGCAGCATTTTAATTGATGACTGCATGGTTTCCTGAGCCTCTCTCTGGCTGACTGAACTTGATGATGCTGGAGAAGGCTCCATTCTGAAATGAAAGGCAGTTCAGGAAGTCTGTGAATGTGTAGGCTGAGCTGTAGGCCCCCAAGAGGCTGTGAGACAGGGAGTGTTGACATCCCCTCCCCAGTCCACAGGACTGAGCCTCTGTGCCACTTGCCGGGTGTGTCTGTCAATGTGGCCACACGGCAGGGAGTGGAGGCCCTGAACGAACATACAGGAAACACATGGTTTCCACTCCCAAAACCCTTCCGTAAAAATGAAAAATGCTCTGATATACATAGTGAAATAGTTACTATAGTCAAGCAAATTAATATATTCATCATGTAACCATTATCTTTTTTGCAGCAAGAACAGCTTAGACCTGCTCTCTTGCGAAAATCTTGAGTTCAGTGCAATATTAGTAACAATAGCCCTCCTGTTGTACATTAGATCTCTTGACATGTTCATCTTACCTGTCTGTAATTTTGTATTCTTTGATCTCCATCTCCCCATTTCCCCTCCTGACCAGTTACCCCTGGTAACTGCCATTTTATTCTGTTTCTATGTGTTCAATTTTTTTCCAGTTTCCTCACATACATTAAATCATGTGATACATTTCTTTATGTGCCTGGCCTATTTCACTCAGCAAAATGTCTTCCAATTTCTATGTTGTGGCAAATATTAGGATCTACTCTTTTTAAGGCTGAATTGTAATTCAATTTGGATATACATAACACAATTTCTTTATCCAGTCATCTGAATTAGGTAATTTCCATGGCTTGAATTTTGTGAACAGTGCTTCAATACATGTGGGAGGGCAATTACCTCAACAAGTGTCTTATTTCTTTGCTTTGCATGTATTCCCAAGACTGCTGTATTCTCATGGAGATGCCACCTCATGCTTGTTAGAATTATCAAGAAGACAATAATGAGTGGTGGAAAAGCTGTGAGGAAAAGGGAACTCTTGCATATGGCTGGTGGAAATGTCAAGTGATGTGGCCATTATGGAAAACAATATGGAGGTTACCTTTTAAAACTTAAATTTGGTCAGGCATTTGATGCAGCAGTCAGGATGCTGCTTGGTACATCAGAGTGGATGGATTTGAGTCCCCATCTATTTCTAATCCAGCTTCTTGCTAATGTGTACTTTGGGTGGTTCTGGGCTTTGGTCTGGCCCAAATCTGACTGCTGCAGACATTTTATGAGTCAATCAGCAAATGGAAGATATATATCTAGCTCCCTATCTATTTCTTTCTTTCTCTGCCTTCCCAATAAAAAATGAGATAAAAATCCAAAAAAAAAAATGAAAAATGCAATTCACATTTAGGAAAATTGTTTAAAGACACTTAGAAAGAAGCCTTGGGCAGCTCCGTGGCTCACTAGGCTAATCCTCCGCCTGTGGCGCCAGCACACCGGGTTCTAGTCCGGTCGGGGCACCGGATTCTGTCCCGGCTACCCCTCTTCCAGGCCAGCTCTCCGCTATGGCCTGGGAGTGCAGTGGAGGATGGCCCAAGTGCTTGGGCCCTGCACCCCATGGGAGACCAGGATAAACACCTGGCTCCTGCCTTCAGATCAGCGCGGTGCGCTGGCCGCAGTGCACTGGCCGCAGCGGCCATTGGAGGGTGAACCAACAGAAAAGGAAGACCTTTCTCTCTGTCTCTCTCTCTCACTGTCCACTCAGCCTGTCCAAAAAAAAAAAAAAAAAAAAAAAAAGAAGAAGAAGAAGCCTTTTATTCAGTGGAGAAAAGATGCAAAAGGAGACTGAGGTGTGCAGGGGGATGAGTCAGGGCATGGGAATGGGCTAATAGTCATTGTGAACCCACATCCCCCACTTTCAGGCTCTCCTTGATCCTGGCCAAGCCCCGGAGCATCTGTGCATATCATGGAGGCACATCTGTGCCTACTCTGTCCCCAAGCATTCGCCTCATTATTTAACTCTCACAGTTATATGAGAAGAAAAATATCACTATTCACATTTTACAAATGAGAAAAACGAGGATCTGAGAGCCTGAATAACCTGCCTTAGCCACTACTGAGCAGCAAAAATACATCTTGAGTCCTCAACTCTGTGTCTCTGAAAGCCATTCAGATTCCATTCTCAATGCTAAAAGTTACTTCCTGAAAACTAAGATGTTCTAAAGTAGAAATGGTGCTGACTCTCACTCCTTATTTCCTGCTGCAGGTAATTTGTTCTTGGTGAGTCTGGCATTGGCTGACCTGGTGGTGGCCTTGTACCCCTACCCGCTAATCCTTGTGGCCATCTTCCACAATGGCTGGGCCCTGGGAGAGGCGCATTGCAAGGCCAGCGCCTTTGTGATGGGCCTGAGTGTCATTGGCTCTGTCTTCAACATCACTGCCATTGCCATTAACCGTTACTGCTACATCTGCCACAGCGTGGCCTACCACCGGCTCTGTGGGTACTGGCATGCCTCCCTCTACATTGGCCTCATCTGGCTGCTCACCCTGGTGGCCTTGATGCCCAACTTCTTCGTGGGATCCCTGGAGTATGACCCGCGTATCTACTCCTGCACCTTCATCCAGACAGCCAGTGCCTGGTACACAGCGGCAGTAGTGGTCATCCACTTCCTCCTCCCCATCACTGTGGTGACCTTCTGTTACCTGCGCATCTGGGTGCTGGTGTTCCGGGCCCGCAGGAAAGCCAAGTCGGAGAGCAAGCTGCGCCTGAAACCCAGCGATGTGCGGAGCTTCCTCACCATGTTTGCTGTGTTTGTGATCTTTGCCATCTGCTGGGCCCCACTTAACTGCATTGGCCTCGCTGTGGCCATCAACCCAGAAGAAATGGCTCCCCAGGTCCCAGAGGGGCTTTTTGTCACCAGCTACTTCTTAGCTTATTTCAACAGCTGCCTTAACGCCATCATCTATGGGCTCCTGAACCAGAACTTTCGCCGGGAGTACAAGAGGATCCTCTCAGCCCTCTGGAACCCACTGCACTGCTTTTCGGATGTTTCCAAGGGCAGCCACACCGAGGGCCCGCTGAGCCAGGCTTCCCCTGCTGTTCATGGCACACACCCTGTCCAGGCAGATTCCCAGTAGCCTGGATCCAAGGTACACCAACCCAGCGACAAACTCATGGAATGGTGGGAGTGAATCTGCTGCCACCACGCTGACCTGTTCCATGACTGGTGGAACTCACTCCTGTGGACAAGGCCATCAGCACCCTTGGCTCCGGCTGGTCCGGGGGTGCCCACATTACCTGGCATAAACTCAGTGGTGTGTTAGGAGCTTGCACATTCAAGACCAGGCAAGGAGCAGAATGAGTGATGGTCTGGGGCAGAAGTGACCAGTTCCTTCCTGTGGACTGCACCTCATCCTGCTCTGACCGCCTCACTGCTTCTCCCTTTCCCCTCAGAGATGGTAGAAATGCATGGCTTCTGTCAGCAAGGATGGAAGAGCGAGGTCTGCAGAGCTGGAAGGTGGGTAGCTCTGTAGGGGCTTTGGGACTGGGCGGGTACACAGGCATTTATGCCCTCCCCCACTGACCCACCCTACACACACACCCCAACCACACACTGTATGCATACCCCTAAACCCCACACCACAAACACTACCCACTCACACCTACCGTACTAAAAATACTATACACACATGCATATCACACATGTACTTGTACTATGTGCACATGTACCACACCAAAGACATACCACAGTAAACACATATACCTACATATCATATCACACACTATCAACACACACACACACCATATATACACCATACCACACACAAATACCAAACTGTACACTGCCCACACCACACATATACCACACCAAAAACACTCCATACACACATACTGTACATGTACTATAATACAGTCATACCACACTACACACATACCACATCACAAACTGCATACACACACACAAACTACACATCATACCACAAACACTATACACTGCCACCATACTACACACTATATACACAATGTATATGTATACATATACCACACTACACACCCACCATGCTACACTGCACATGCCACATACACATAGTATACATGGCACACACATACCACAAGCACACCACACATGTACACCCACCTCTCACACACGCCTCCAGCTCACAAGCACACTACACACACACATATGCACACACACTTCAGGCATGTGTACAAAGTCTGCATCACTTCTATTCCAGGTTCTACCAGTTACAAATTCTCTGACACAGGACAAGTCCCTGAGTTCCTCACTCCCCAGTTTATAATATTAAAATGGGGATTCTGCTATTAAAAGCATCTGGTGGGCTAATATATCTGATGAGCCAAGGCTGGTGCTCACACATGTCTCACATTCAGTGATCATGAGTTTTGGTTGGTAAAATGAAATATACTATTGAGGAAGTAAAGAAACCAAACACCAAGGTAAGAAGAGAGGAGAGATTGGGCATGGAGGTGTGGGAGGGGAGAAAGGGAAGCTCCTCCCCAATTCCTTTCTTAGGGTTGTAGAGGCTCTAGGTCTTCTTTTAGCACCAGCAGCTTTAACTCCCTTCTTCACAATGCCCAGTGTCCTTTGAGGACCAGAGCAGGCAGGGGAAGAAAACACCATATTCTCTCCCCTGGAGAGGTCATTGCTCATGAACAAGTAGTCACTAGCATCTATTGGGTGTTTTCATTGAATAAAACACTGTGGTAAGGGCTGCATGTGTATTTTCACATTTCATCCTCTCAAAACTCTCAGAAATAAATATGATTCTCCATTTTAATAGTAAGAAACTGAAACCCCAAGAAGTGCAAGGATTGCCTGAGTTCACTGAGCTGCTGAGCTCAGACCTAGATGGGGAGCCTGATTCTGTCTGGCAGCAGCACCATACCTCTATGTCCCTTCATCCCCCCAGGTATGTGGCAGGAACAGAGTGCAGCAGGGTAACAGCCCCAGGTTAACAAGGTGCCTGGGGGCCAGCAGGAGACTCCAAGTGTAGACCTCTTGGCATTAGGCCGGACCTTCTCCATTCCTTGTAATGTGAGGAATCTGGGCTAGGTGCTGTGCTCAGTCACCTGTTCACCTGAGAGCCTCTTAAACATGCACATTCCCTGGCCTTCAACAGCAATCTGGAGAAGGCACTGGGTATCTGATTGTGACACCAGAGGTCCTTGAGCAAATGTTAGGGATGTAGATGTCACAACCCTGGTTATTGCAACGTTAGGATCCAGCCACTGAGTATGGAGGATCCCACTAACAGAGGCTCTCTGGTTCATACCTCGTACCTAGACAGAAGCACAGGAGTCTCAAGACTTCTTGAGCTGTGGCAACACTTTGGCCTTTGGGCAGAGCCTGAGGCTGACCTGATCAGGCACGTGTGCCCTGTTTTTGCTGTTTCTTCCCCACAGGTACCACAGAGATTTGCCTCTGACTCTGAATAGAGAAGGAAAAGAGGCCATCGATTTCTTGTCAACAGAGTGAATCTCACATCTTCCCCTTTTCCCTCTCTTTTAGTGCTGAGCTAAGTGCATGGCATGTGCTTGATGAATAGCGATTGAAGCAAGAGAATTCTCTTCACTTGCCCGGGGCCCATATGTGTCACCTGCTTTGCCATGAATCAGCACTGACAGCCACTAACTGGGACTCTTTCTTATGTCTACAGGTTTTTGCTGATGAATCAGGAACTAAGAGGATGAAAAAAAGTGGAGAAAGGCCACAAATTGGGTGATGTATATACTCAGATGGAATGGCCTCATGTTGCAGGCCTTAATTTTAAATAAAGATGATTTTGGTAAAATTGTGTGAGAACTGTATCTCAAATCTACCTCTTTGACCCTGGACAATCTGATCAAAGGGGCCACTGGGCTACCTGCCTCAGAACCCTGCAGCTTTGAATTCTCTATGAAGCCCCCAGCCAGCAAAAAGCTCATGTCCAGGTCCAAATTTCTGACTAGGTTGACAAATCTGGGGTGGTCTAATGCCTGGGCTCACCCATCAGGGTCACTGGATCAGGCATGAAGCTGTCTGTCCGTATCTCTCTGTGTTCCTGTCTGCCATAGCATGAAGCTGTTTGTCTCTCCGTGTCTCTGTCTCAGTCTCTCTCTCTCACTCACACACACACACACACTCCTTGTGCTTTCCTATCTGTTTCTTCTCGGTTTCCTTTGCCTACTTCTGAAATTGCACATGGGGCTGCCTCTAGGATTGCCTTTTACTCCATAGGTATAACTCAAATCTAAGCATGCACATCAGAATTTTACTAAGGGAACACTTGAAAAGTCCAAGATCACAAGTGGGATTCAGATCATCCATATAGTTTGAGATTGTTCCTCAGGTTATTTGCATCTATGGACCTGGATGAGAACAAGGTTCTGTGAATGCCTTCAGTCACCTTCATTCCCAGGGTTATGGTTACCTTCTCCACCTGTAGATCCCCATTACCTAGCAGTTCCTAAGCACTCACTATATGCTGGACACTGCTATGGAGTTTATGATAATCAATGATCAGGTTTAATTCCCACAATTCTGTTGGGAGGCTCTGCAGTTTCCCCCCAATTTATAAAAAAACTGAGACAGAGGGAGGTTATGTAATTTGCTGGTGGTCATATAGCTACTAAGTGGGGAACCAGACTCTGATATCATGTGGTCTGACTACAGAGCCGTACTCTTAGCTGTTGGTTGTACTGTCGTCCTCAGACTCACATATCCACAAATGGAATTGCTAAGTCACATGGTAGTTTTAACTTTTGGAGCCACCTGCATTTCCATAGCAGCTGCACCAGTTACATTGCCACCAACAGTACGAAAGTGTTCTAATGTCTCAACATCCTTGTCAATGCTTGTTGGCGATTTTAGTTTTTGTTTGTTTTTGGATTTAATAATGGCCATGCTAATAGGTGTGTGTGCTCATCCCATTGTAGTTTTGATTTGCGTTTCACTAATGATTGGTGTTGTTGAAAATTGTTTCATGTTCCTGTTGCCAATTTGTAGGTCTTCTTTACAGAAATGTTTAGTCACTTCTTCTCTACATTGAATGTTTGTCTCCACAAAATTCATATGTTGATACCTAGTCCCTGATATGATGGTATTTGGAAATGGAGCCTTTGGGAGGTGATTATATCATGGAAGAAGTACCCAAAGAAGACCCCCAAAGATGTCACTGCCCTTTCCATCATGTAAGCTTATAGCAAGAAGACTGTCATCTGTGATCAAGAAGTGGCCTCACTAGACATTAAAATCTGCTGGTGCTTTGATCTTGGACTTCTCAGCCTCCACAAATGTGAGAAATAAATTTCTGCTGCTCATAACTTACCCAGTGTAAGATATTTTGTTCTAGCAGCCTTAAGTGGACTACAACAGAGCTCCCTCTCTGTTCATTCATAAAACTGGGTTATTTGTTGTTGCATTTGTTGCAGTTGAGATGAAAAAGTTCCTCATATATGAGGGTGCTTTCAACAAGTTCATGGGAAATGGAACTTCAAGTTTATTTTGGTGGAAAAAATTGAAATCCACAGTTTTTAAAAAAAAACATATGCATTTTCCATGACATTTTTTAAAACACCTGGAACATTACAGACATTAACCCCTTATCAGTCATGTGGCTTGCAAATTCCATAGGCTGCTTATTCTCATTGTCAAGAAGCTTTTTAATTCCATGTAGTCCTACTTGTCTATTTTTTCTTTTGTTGTCTGTGCTTTTGGTGTCATGGACAATAAATCATTGCCAAGACCAATGTCATGAAGCTTGTCCTCTGCTTTCTTCCAAGAGCTTTCAGTTGAAGGTCTTATTTTTAAATTTTCAACCAACATTTGAGTAGTTGTTTATGTGGCTATTCAATTTCACAACATCATTTAAAGAGGCTTTCCTTTCCCCTTGCATACTTTTGGCACCCTTGTTGCATCAGCAATAGAAGAAAATTACCTCAATTTAATGAAATAAAAGTCATATATGCCAAGCCCACATCTACTATCACACTCAACAGTGAGAACCTGAAAGCTTTTCCTCTAAGATCAGGACTGAGAGAAGGGTGACCACTCTTGCTATTTCTGTTGAGCATAGCACTAGAAGCCCTAGCCAGAACAATCAACTAAGAGAAAGAAAAGACATCCTTATTCCAAAGGAATGTGTACAATTATCTCTATTCATAGAGGACATGATCTTATATGCAGAAAACCTTAAAGACTCCAATAGAAAAAAAAAGCCTGTTAGAATTAATGAACAACTTCAGGGAAGTTGTAGAATAAAAAATTCAAATGCATTTCTATATATACTATACACATATATACTAAAAATGGCAATCTTAAAATGAAATTAAGAAAATCACAGTTACACTATCCCCAAAAAGAATATGAATAAATTTAACCAAAGAGATAAAGACATATACACTGAAAACTGTAAAATAAATTAACGAAGATAGGATCCTAATAGGAAAGATAAACAATATTGGCACTGGGGGATTTTAGTATAGAAAGGA